GTCAGAAAAGATCGTTATCATTAGGGATCGGATGCGTACAGCTCAAAGCAGACAAAAAAGTTATGCCGACCGTCGAACTCGTGTTTTGGAGTTTAAGGTTGGTGATCAGGTTTTACTTAAAGTTTCTCCTATGAAGGGAGTAATGCGGTTTGGGTCAAAGGGTAAGTTATCGCCTCGTTTTGTGGGTCTTTTTATGATTACAGATCGGATTGGGGCAGTAGCTTATCGTCTGGCTCTACCAGATAATCTTCACAGGGTACATAATGTTTTTCATGTATCCATGCTGCGGAAATTTCTACGGGAAGAAGACAGATATCAACACATTGATGTGGGTGAGATTGAGTTGCAACCGGATGCAACCTATTTAGAACAACCTTACCGTATTCTCGATCGTAGGAATCAGATACTGTGCACGAAGACTATTCCATTAGTACGTGTACAGTGGAGTCATCATAGTGAGTCAGAGTCTACTTGGGATCGGGAAGATATTATCTGTGCCAATTATCCAGAGCTCTTTCATACAGGTATGTAGTGAATATCGAGGACGAAATTCCTTTGTTAGGGGGGGAGAATGTTATACTCCGTAATTTTTTTAAAGAGTTTATTTAAAGCAATTCGGTTTCGATTAATTATTTAATTATTTAATGTGTAGATTAGTCACCTACTATTTGTGTATGTTAAATTATTTAATTAATTTTATTTATTTGTGCATATAATATTGATTTTATGTTTTATATATTATAATGATTAGTTTAGAAATTTTATTTGTTATGTTTTATATAATTAATATTAGTTACTTAAAGTATTATATTTGTATTGCAATATATTATTATGTAATAATAATAATAATAATAATAATAATAATAATAATAATTACTAAATCAATGTCATGATGTAAAGTTGACATTAGTATGGGATTTCATTTACTAGGGTAGATTTTGTTGTCAATTATTTGACTTAAATTGCATAGCCTTAAGTTAGTTTAGGTGGGAATGTTGATAGTTAATATTTAGGTTAGATATTTGTATTATATATATTATATAAGTTAGTGTATATATATTAGTTAGTTAGCATTCCTTTGAGGGAACTCACGTAATAGAAGAAGAAAGAAAAATATAGCAGTGAACTATTCTAGAAGAGTGAAAGGAAAAGAGAGAGAGAGAGAAGCTTGGATCGGTGTAGGTGATTTTTCCCGACTACGTGCAACTGGCGGATTTGTTTCAAATCCATAAGGCAAGTTATTATCTATTTTTCCCTTTTGAATCCATAAATTATTCAATTAATTTATTCGGCTATTTTAGAGGTTAGAAGCATGCTAGGAATTTTAATAAATAAATTTTTAGTTTATTAAAGAGATGAAATTTTAATTATTAAAGGTGTTAGATATTTATTTATTTGCCTATGTAATTAAAATATAGCTAAAAATAATTATTTAAGGATTTGGGAAATTTTCTAGAATATTCTGGAATTTTTCGGGATTTTTCTGTAATTTCCGGCTAATTTTCCGGCGAGATTCCGGTCACCGGCAGTGGGGAAGACAACCGGAGTAATCCGGTGTGAGGCAGCGCACAAGGGTTCCTATGCACCTACATCAACGGCCATTGGATTAGCTTTTGACCACTAGATTGATTCTATGTAGCATAGTATACAATAATAGGATACACGTAATTCAAGAACCGTTGGATTAAAGGATGATCATTGAGATCAATCCAGTGTAGCGCGCCCACAGAGAAACGGTACAATTGACCAACCAGCACACGCCGCGTCAGCAGGACGCATTATTGCGCGCGTGGCTGATGCCAGACGCGCGTGGGGGCGCGTGTAAGCGCGTGGCAAACTCTAAATGCGCGTGTGAGAGTGGGGAAGGTGGCAGCGCGTGGGGGAAGCTTAGGGAGGCGCGTGTAGGACCTCTACAGTTGCTGGAAATGTCCAGAATACCCCTAGGGACTGTTTTGTAATTTTCAGAGCCTTAAACTTTAAATTTTGAGCCTTGGGTTGATGTTTTCGGGATTTACGGGACTTTTAATTATTATTTTTACCCGTTAATTATTATTAGGTCTGATTAATATTTCTAAACATTAATTGTATCATTTACAGTATGGATCGCTATGAAACAGATGTAATTAATGTAATGGCATATTTGAATAATAATTGTGTTGTTATTTAATGTTAAATGAAATGATTATATAATTTGATTCATATAAATTGTCCGTTGTATATTACTGGATTATTTATGTTGTTAATGATATATAAATCATTACTATTATGCTATGTACATTTCAGGTAATAAATGGACTGCTAAATAAATTATGTCACATTTATATTATATGGATGTGTTGCCATATAGAACCATGTGAGCTGACTAATAAGTTTAGACTCATTTATACCTTACGCATTCGTTGCCATAGACAGCTGAGTGACTGTCGGGGTATGTGGTTTAATATTATTGGCATGTGTTGCAAAGTGATAAGCTCAGTATATTCATTAGTACCTTGAGATGTGTTACCACTGTGTAGGACTCATAGTCTGTGTTGTCGGTACTGTGCACCATGTATTAATAGCTGATTTCCCAGATAGGGAAAGGAGACACTAAACCATCTCGTGTGAGTTTAAGTGATCACCGTCTATTCTGGTTGAGGTCATATTATACATGGTATAGTTTCATTAGGGTGTATACAGGTATAATATACTGCCGAGTATTAATGATTAATTTATTTGATTCTCTGATTTGGGTCATAGTAGAGAGGACTTGCTTGTGGGGTTGACCCATCATTGTTGTTATTTTAGGACACGGTCAGTACCCGTTTCCAGGTTGAGGCTTAGTAGTGTGGGACCACCATCCGAACTCATCTACTCTTACGGTCTTATCCAAGGTAAAAGTTTTATATATTATTTTGTTTTCAGTTTTATTTACTTCCGACGTTGAACTTTCAGGTTTATATTTAGGGATCTTTGACATAGGATTTCCAAGTTGTATAACGGAGTATTGTATTTAATAAAGGATGGATGGATGTTTTGTTATCGAGTTTTCCTTTCCTGTCTAAGTTCTTTTATTATTATCATCTTGTATTCCATACTTGTATATTACCAATTGTTTTTGATATCCCTCATTTTTCGTGTATAAGCCTGATCAACTTATACGTGGAAAATGTGGGAGTGTTACAGTTCTTCAATCAGAGTATCATGATTATTTTTTGAAAAACTAAAAAGTTAAATTAAAGAATAATGATAGGAGATTAAGGATTGATGTTGTCGCCACATAAAACTCATATTAATGATATTATGATGACGTCAATTCCACTCGTGTGTATCTATATATATATTTGGAAGGTGTTCTTTGTCAAGTAGTACACCATTTACTTTCACATACTTCACATTCTTCTATCCTTCTAAATCCAATGTGAATCACAGGGGAGAGCACAAGGGTTTATTGCTGGTGTGGAATCAATATCAAGTTTGTTATTGTTGGGATTTATATGCCCTGACATAGCAAATTTCTGTTTGGATTAAAGTGACATATGTTCCTGACGTATCTGAAATATTTATGATTTATACAATTGATGAATTCAATGTATTATGTTTCAATTCATTATGGAATTGATAATATCCATTTGAATACAAGAGATATTTATATATGTATGTGATGGCGATCAATACATGAATATAAATAGTAATCAGAAATTATTCATAATCGGTAATTATGGATGGACTCATAATTAATTAAGACTTGAACTGGATCCGCTTTAGGTTGAGATATATTGCGAGAGCCGTCGTATGCAATTGCTCCCTATCACCGTCATGGCATTTGACTCTTAAGTATGAAAAAAGTATAAATTCTTTTATTAATTAATAATTACTTTGATTTGTTCGGCGAATACTTCAGGATCCTTAAATCGACACTTTGGGTAGTTATTTAATTAATAGTTAGAGAATTATATTTTCAATATTTGCATCATTGTTACTTGTATTTATTTTGTATTGATTATGGTTGATCACAAAGTAAATTCGAAGGCCTTCGTGTATTTTTAGACAAAATAATTTATTATATATTTATTTATTTAAATTATTATTTTTGTCAAATAAATGTTTTATTGTGATCGAGTCAGAAATAATCAAAGGTACCAAAATAAATATATTAATTAAGTAGTCGGATTGATGGCTTTATTTATTCGATAACTAATTATGCATAAAGGGGTCAAAGTGCAACATTGACTTAGAGGTTATTTATTATTTAATTAGAGTTCAATTAATTTATTTTAGTGGAGTAGAAATTAATTTATGAATTAATTGAATTGGGTTCATGGACCGGGCTAATTATTAATTCATTGTAGTTAATAAAATAATAAGTCCAAAGGATTCTCACTCATAGCCCAACTTGATATTGAAATCCTATTAGATTTGAGACATGTGAATTAGAGATTGAGAAGGATTATTATTTCATTTTCTTTTTCTTTATGTTACTTATATATATACATGGTCTATGTATATTTTAGGGGTGATTTTTGGAAGAAGAAAAAATGAATATATTTTCTCTCTCTAGAAAATTAGGGTTAGTGTTCTCATCTAATGGAGGCTCCCACAAGCCAAGTTTTCCAAGGTCATTCATGGAGGCTTATGAGTGATTCCTAAAGGCAAAACAAGTACTAAAAAGATGGAGATCCAAGGAGAAGGCAGATCTAAGGGATCTACAATAAGTGAGAACATTCATTTTAGAGGAAAGATTTATATGTTTACTTAGACCTTTGATGTAAGTATTCAATCAGTTAATTGAATGATACATCATATTTTATTTTTGCATAAAACTTGTCTCTATGTGATGAATCAAGATCTGTGAATGAAAATCCCTCGAAAAGTTTCTAAAACTAATACGTTTCCCAACAGTTATCACCACTTGCAATAAGTCCATTGACATGTAAGTTGATTTTTCTGTTTGTTTCAGTTGAACATCAGAACCATTTCAACTAACTTGCCTAACTATTGACTATATGTTGTCTCAGCATTGTTCCTGTCCAACAATGCGCCTTTCGACTGCAAAGGTTTTAGTATTATCTGTGCATCGTCATGCATGGTAAGCCTTCTCTCTCTCTCTCACACATACACACAAACACACACACACACACACACAACAAACACACAACATGACTGCACTATTCATCATCTCAGGTGATTGCCCTCAGTTGTGCTTGGATGCTAAAACCAGAAGCACCACCAGAGAATGATTTGGAGGCTAATGTAGATGACATCGAATCGCCACTTCTATCATAGAAGGTGGCAGTATTATCCTAGATACTCCTCTTAGGCTGGCAATGTATAGTAATTTTGATGCTTTGTTGTCGCTAATATAGAACGTAAATATCTATGTAGTCTGCCATTTTCTGCTAGTTACACTCTCTCATAGAAAATATAGAGCATTGAATTGTTTCTCCTGCAACAAGAGAGTGCATTATAATTATTATTCATGCTCAACATAAGAGTGGTGTGTTAAATGATCTAAAGGTAAGTGATGTCACCAAAATAAGTGAAGCAAATTCTAATTTATTGTTACCACATCTTCCATTACACTCCATTGGCTGGTATTGTATTTGTACCCATCATATTAGATACATCTCTTGGGCGAGCAATGTAAACGAGGGAGTTTTTATCCACTTGATGTAGTGGATAAGTTCAGGTGTGGATCGTGTAGATCTATTACGTCAATGGATAGAAACACGTCAATGGATAAAAACTCTCAGGCTAACAAATTGGTTAGAGAAACTGGCCAAAGAATCATTTTCCTGATTCAATCTCATTCATATATTTCCGTCTGTGATGCCTCTTACTTGTGTAAACACGTTTTGAAAATCGTGAACAAAATATGCAGAACAAAGTGGACAGTATCTGCAACGAATTCTACACCGTCACTCCCTCAAGTGCCAAGATATCAAACAACTTGTAGCCCTCAGGACCCGTTTGGATTGGTTTTTGAAACGCTACTTTTAGCTTTTTGGGGTTGGAAGTTGTTTTGAGTAGTTTTTGACTAATTTTTTAAAAGAGCTTTTAAGTCTTAGAAGAGTGTTTTGGAGAAGCTGGGTACCCACAGCTTTTCTTAAACGCTCTTTTTTTAAAGACATGGGAAGCTGTTAAAGGGTTTAAAGAAACTTTCAAAATACCAAGCGTGCCCTCCATATTTGTGAACAAAAAATAAAATATTCTATTGGTATCCCTATATATGTAAAGAAACCTAATCGCATCACAGATTGTCTCTTTCATCTGGTTCACAATTTCACATAGCAGCAGGTTCCTCCTCTCTTTTTTCTCATCCTCAAGATTTCAAAGCTAGATACTCCGTATTTTTTTCCAGTGGACAAATAACTCAATACAGTAGTATTTTAAGTTTTATCATGAATCAGATTTGTTAGATTTTAACGAACGATGAGTGAGAACAATATATATTTATTTATTTATTGCTATTGCAATTTATATTTCGTTTCATTCTAGATTTTGGTTTTTTGTTTTCTCTTTTTCTCATATACGTTACCATTATATGTTTTTGCCTTCAATTTTATTTTCTTTTAGCTTTGCGAATCTGTGGGTATATACAAGTAATATATGTGTATATTTTATATGATTTACTTAATGATAGTTACGAAAATAAACTCCATAAGTCGGGCTAATGACTCTTTCAACTTACATAACCACGGTCAACCAAAAAATATGAAGAACAAAGAAATCTTTTCATCTTTAGCTTTTTTTTCACATAGAAATTGAATTGGGAAATACTTTCCATCTTTAGCTTCTTTTTTTTACATCAAAATGAACATATATATAATGGCATCTTTCTATGGCAACCACGATGTACTAACCAAAAAAAAAAAATGAAGAATAAAAAAATCCTTCCATTTTTAGCTTCTTCCTTTTTTCACCTCAAAATTGAATTGAAAGATAGGTGAACTTATATGTAAAGCGTTGTATTTTAAAAAAAAAAAACTCAATACAATATAGAAGAAAGAATTTATAAAATGAGTTACATATATTATGTTGAAAAAACCGAAAGAAAGAAAAATAATTAAATAATTAACTGTATGAATGACTTCCTTATAGTGAAATTAATAAAAAATGCAGAAGAATGTTATTTAGATCATTTTATAGACAACAACAATGTAAAAGAAATAATTTTAAAATCATTTTCACGATGGATGTGTAACATATTTTATTCTTTCATAAACGATATGTTTGTTAATATCATAGTTTTGGTTACAGTTGTTGGGATGGTCATTGTTTGGAACCTTATTTCATTGGTTAGTGTTTGGAACCTTATTTCATCTAAGGGCAAATTAGTTATATTAGTAGTAGAAGAGCTTTAGTAAGCATTTTATCAAACAGACAAAAAAATTCTCCTAACATTAAAAGCTCTTCTAAAATACAATTCTCAAACACTATCAAATAAGCCGTATAGAAGTGATAGCTTATACTTCTCTTCTTCTTCTCTATAAAAGTATAAGTAAAAGCTATGCTAAACGAGCACACTGCTATAGCGTTGTGAAATTGGTTTTCTTGCAAATTTATATCTCAACATTTAATCTTTCCCTTTATTATGTAAATTCTTTTTAGACGCTCAAGGTACCAAAAATTAAGATGTGATAAAGCATATCTTGTTGACTAATGATCTTTATAGAATTATATTGAGTTGTTTGCTCTGAAATGAGCACACTGCTATAGCGTTCTTATAATTCTTTCGAAGGGTAACATTAATGTGACAAGATCAATCATCATAAAGAAACACTTCCATTAATCTGTACAACATCCAAATGGTTCTCTAATTGAACAAACAAAATTATCAAGACAGTTTTTCTCCCAAATATATAACATTGAATTGTTTCTCCCGCAACAGGAGAATGTATTATGATTATTATTCATGCTCAAAGGAGTCGGGTGTTAAATGATCTAAAGGTAAGTGATGTCACCAAAATAAGTGAAGCAAATTCTAATTTATTGCTACCACATCTTCCATTGCACTCCATCATCTCGTATTGTATTTGTACCTATCATACCATATACATCTCTTGGGCGAACAATGTAAATTATGAATTTTTACCCACTTGATGTAGTGGATAAGTTCAGATGTGGATCCTGTACACTGGCGGATTTAGGGGTGGGCTCAAGACACCAAATTTTTATTTTTATTGTTTTTATTTAAGCTCAGTTTAAATAAAATAAAATTATTACTAGTATTAGCCCACCCAAAGAAATATTAGCTCACCTCGTTGACAATTCCTGGATTCGTCCTTGATCTTGTAGATCTACTACGTCAATTGATAGAAACTCTTCGACTAACAAATAGGTTAGAGAAAACCTACCAAAGAATCATTTACCATTTTATATTTGATAGTGATTCAATCTCATTCTTACATTTTCGCCTGTGATGCCTCTTACTTGTGTAGACACGTTTTGAATATCTGCAATGAATTTTAACACCGTCACTCCCTCAAAGTGCCAAGATATCACACTAACTTGTAGCCCTTTTGAGTGAAATAGGTTTTCTTGTAATTAATATCTCGACATCTAATCTTTCCCTTTATTATGTAAATTCTTTTTAGACGCACAAGGTACCAAAAATTAAGATGTGATAAAGCATGTCTTGTTGACTAAATCATCTTTATAGAATTATATCGAGTTATTTGCTCTGAAATGAGCACACTGCTATGGTATTCCTATAATTCTTTCAAAGGGAAACATTAATGTGACAAGATCAATCAACATAAAGAAACACTTCCATTACTCTGTACAACATCCGAATGGTTCTCTAATTGAACAAACAAAATTATCAAGATAGTTTTTCTCCCAAATTTACAGTACTGGGGAGATTTTATGCAACCTCCAAATTTACAGTACTGGGGAGATTTTATGCAACCTCTAAGATTGAAGCTAAATAGAGATGGTTTACATAACAGTACAGGTTTCAATGGCTGCACTCAAGAACTTCGGTCTTGTGTCTCATTTCAGAAACACAATCAGCCCTCTTCCCCAAATTCCTTTGTGAATCTCTCGTGCACCTCGAGGTCTTTTTTGCTCACGGTTGGCTTCTGTCTTGTCAGTACTTTGTCAAAATCTCTTCTCGCGATAGGCGGCGGGTGGATCTGCAAGACAGTCATTTATTTTGATGAGAAAGCAAGCAGGAAACAATTGTGCTTTGAGAATAATGTTACTACTGTCACTGGATGAGGAGTATATTATTATCCTAGAAACCATGCCTTTTCCTTTTCAATTCATTCAATCATATTTTTTACGTTTTCTTTTCTTTCTTTTTCTTCTTTTTACTTTTAATAAGCATGCTGTAATTTTGACGACGATATTGCAATTATCGAAGTTCTGAATATTATGAGATCATGAATGTAATATATCAATCCTATTTTTATGACTTGTTGCCAAAAGGGAGGGGGAAAAAAAAATTATTTATTGCACATCCTCAAGAATTATGAACATTAACTACCAAGGCCTTGGCTTGTGGTGTACATCCACCTCTCCCAACTCCAAAGAAGAGGTCGAGCCCATAGTTAGCAAATGCGTGCATTATCCATGTACATATAATAGTTATAATAATAAAAAATCTGTTTCCCGTAAAAGATTCAAACTTTAACAAATACTCGTATATTTGAATTGAATCATATAGTACACGTATTAAACGTCTTAAATATTATACATTATGAAAAATATGTCACTTATATTACTTTTTTTAAAGATTAAATCGTCTTTATTAATTTTATTAGAAGAAAAAAAGGATTTTTAAATTTTTTATTTTATTTTATATATAAATAAATGGGAAATTATAGTAACTTGACCAATAATTAACCTAACCAAGTAACCATTTCATTTTCCCAGTTAATAGGAAAGTAATAATTTTATATCTTGCGAGCCACAAGTGGTATCATATAACACTATAAACCTAGGTATTTTTAAAATCTTATGATGAATTAATTCAGCTATGTAATTATACGTACTGTCATAATTATATATTAATAATTGAGGTAAAAAAACAGATGAACTATAACTTTTTAAGTTCAAAAAAAGAAAAAAGAAAAAGACATATAAACAAATAAATATGCAACTCTATAAATGTTTATAATACTTTTACAACCATGAATTTGTTTCATCACTCTTTTATTTTGATTTAAAATTTGGATATGATTGAAAAATAAACAAAATACTATAACAATAATAATTATTCTAATATTTATAAACAAAAAATATATATAAATGGTACCGTATTTTTACAATGAACTTTTTATTAGCATTCAAATTATACCCATATATGTATATATGCGTATTTTTACAGTTTACATATTTTTATGCTGAATTTTCAACATACTTTTTATGAGAAAATTATAATAACTATATTTTTTTCCTGGTTAGATATTTTGCGAACTATGGTATATATGTGTGTGTGTGTGGACATTGCACAATGCATTCTCTTTGTTTTCCTCACAAGTAGTGCAAAGTTTGCTATTTTTTGAAAATGTACTGCCGAATAACTCAATTTCATGTGATCCATACCTTTGAAGCTAGGCCTTGTGCTGCTAGCTCCTGCATGTTAATCTGAATTGCACCTGGTTGTCTAGGTCCACAAGGCGTCCAGATATCGTTAGAAGCCTTTATGAAAAACTCAGCATCTTGAGTTTTACGAACAGGTTCAAACAGCACTTCATTTACCTATCATATAAGCAAAGGCAAGATAGTTAAACGTTTCAGCCATATAACTAAAATCCATACTTGCAAAAGGTAAATAGGAAGAATTTAAGAACTGAGATGAACCTGACACTTACACAAACAGAAACATCTGAACCTGAGAACCCTTCAGTTTTACGGGCTAGTTGTTCAAAATCACTTTCACTTAAGTTGTGAGGAGTATCTCCTAAATGTACCTGCTCATATCCATCAATTGGTACAAGAGTGAGTGTGGGGAAAAGAAAGAAGGAAAAAAAACCTAAGCCAAGATGGAGGCATTGCCCTGATTCCGAGAATGAGAAAGATGCATTAACAAAGTACCTTGAACATGTGCTGCCTTGCCTTCAAATCTGGGAGAGGAATATAAATCCGCTTGTCAAATCGCCGCCTGATGGCCTGTGATTTAGTTTGCATTAGCCGCCAATAATAAGTAGCATTCTTTTTCCTACTTTCAATATGACACTTGTGTCCTAAACGTTCTTGAACCTTGCACCTCTCCTCTTTGGGGGTGGCAGTAGATTCTTCTCAAACTAACAGCCAACTATCCAATAAAAATTAGCACTCCTGAAAAATCTTTGGGGACATTCCTATTTACCAGTCAAGACCTGTAAAGTGTCCAGAATTTCTCACCTGATCTAAGGCATACGGAGTATTTGTGGCTGCAAGAACAAGAACCTTCTGATCATTGTTCCCTACACCCTGACATGAATAATAAACAATTAAGCTCAAAATAATATAAACAAAAGAGAGACTATCAATCATAATATGAGAAATGTTAATGAGAGAGTGAGGGGGGAATATGTTGATCACATGCTACTCTAAGACGGTTTGCAAGCTGCAAGAACCAAATCTTGTGAATTGTGAGAAAGAGGATATATTTTCAATAAATATTCCACGAGCTCGATTTTAAAGACCATACTCTTTCCCATGACTCATGAGTGGACCATGATATGGCTTAGCTTGACATTGGGGAGCCATCTCCACCGTCTGGTACGGAATGTTAAACAACCAGCTTTTCCAGCCTATTCTTGAGATCTTGACCTATCATTGGATGGTGGAAGGGGAAGAGGCGGCTAAGGCAATCAGTGATGATTATGCAATTATAGCGGTGGATGACAGTTTACAAATTTGATAATGACAATTATTTTCAGATACCGGTCATTTAAAGGTTTCAACTAATAAAATTTAATATAACATGTATCTGGTCAAAATGTATTACACCGATAAAGTTAACATAAAAAGACAAGAAAAGGATCAAATTGGCAAAGCATCTGTTTGGTGAAAAAGGAAATTTGATGGTTTCAAAATTGAGAAAAGGAATCTGATCAATAAAACAAGTCCGAGTAAAATAGGGAATGGTAGTCGTAGCTCACAGTTCTATTTCATTCAATCATTATTATTAAAAGATGGATCCTGGGAGAATTCTATTTGTAAAGCATGTCTTTTGGCTCCAACTATAAAATCCTAAAAGCATTCTGTTACAGGAAAAATTCTATCTCAAATATGTTATATTACCCACACTTTGCATGTGGGAATTTGAGCTAGACATCATTAAGTAGAAAATATATGCAAGAACTTATATCACTCAAGTCCAGGCATACCATTTCAATGGAAAGGAAGCATAAAGCAACAGTTAAACACTTCAACTGAGCAAAAAATACCTGCATCTGTACAAGCAGCTCAGTTTTAATACGTCGAGATGCTTCACTCTCATTGCCTTCACCTCGTTGGCCGCATAAAGAATCGATTTCGTCAATGAAAATGATGGAAGGAGTACTTTCACGAGCCATTTGAAACAGATTTGAAACTAGCTTTTCACTTTCTCCCATCCATTTTGAAACCAGGTCTGATGAAGAAATACTGCATAGAGACAGCATTTGATGCTTGTCAATCCATTAAGCAAACTCCAGCTCCAAGAATACAATCAAAAAAGTGAAATATTCAATGGCCAAATTTTCTGAAAGAAAGGAAGGAGTGTAACCCAGTGATACTGATGGAGAAAGCACAATTCCACAATACAGACTTACAACTAGATATGTGAACCAGCAAGGCATACACGGGAGGTAAAGTAGATATCTAGGAAAGTTGCGTGAATCCAAGAACAACAGATATGATCAGGCATACAGAATGCAAATAAAATCTAGACAATCTTGGTTATTTGCAATCAAAAAATGAATAAATGATTATACATATTTACAAACACAACAAAGAAACACCCACCAGGAACTCAAGCAGGTTCATGTGCACCACAAATCAACATCAACATATTAAACCTACCAAAGGATAGACCAATGTTATGCGATCTATTAGACAATGACTGCGTTCCATATTTCCACAAAGTATATCATGTGGAAAACATGATACGTGCTTGACATATTGCAACAGCAAACCCCCAAAATGTCGTATCAGGAGATTGCTATATAAGTGTCTATGTTGGCCAATTCATTATAATGGAAAGTGGAAACAAACATAAACACACAATTGATTGTAGCATGTAAAACCTGAAGAAAGTTGAGTCTGCTTCAGTTGCAACAGCTTTGGCCAAGTATGATTTACCCGTTCCAGGTGGACCATACAGTAGAAATGCTTTCCATGGTCGCCTCTTCCCTAAACAAAGGTATAAGATCAAGTAGAATCATCAACTGCAAGATAGAATTGTACCTTTCCTGATATCTAACTTGTAGATGTGAAGTACTTTTGGAAGCATCAAATGTAAGGATAGCACAAAAATGTAATTACAAAGTCTACACACTATCTTTCAGGTTAATCATACATATATTATAAAGAAACTCCCCCAAAAGTTTCCAGAATAAGACATAATTGAAACTGTTCATGCTAAAATCTTTCCTTGCCAAACTGCTAGTTCCAGAAATTTGACACAATTACACTAGACGAAATGTAATTCAATCACAAATTTCAGACCAAATAGAATTTCTTTTGATCATTTAGAGACATGAAAGCAAATAGGTAGGAATAGAAGCATTGTATTAACTTTTAGCGCATCTAATGTGATAAAAACATCAGTGGATAGAGCTTAAAACAAAAGAACCATATAAGAAAAAGGTCACAAAAGCACATTGACATACACTATAAGGGGAACTTCAATTATTACAATAATTTGACAATAAAACATTCTCAATCTAACAGGTACAAACTCATTATGACGTACCCTTGTATAGAACTTGGATTGCAATCAGAAAAGTATATCATATATAAAACAGCTAATAGAGCAACCCAGTTCTCCACTGGAAATTATAATTCAGAATGATCTCCCACTCCCCACCAACAACCAACCACCCCCAACCCCCCCCCCCCCCCCCCCCCCCCCCCCACACACACACACACAAAGCCAAATATAGTCTTTCTATGCCTATGCCCATTTTTAATCCCCTTGTTTAGCATTTTTCTTTGGTTTGTTTTATACCTGAAATTACTAAATTAGCCAGGGACATAAAAGATTTTAAGGGGGAGAAATTACTTAATAGTAACTTTATCTTTAATTCTTATGCTCAAAGATTTAACTCCACAACAGCCAATTCCAACCAAGAGAGATTAGCTAAATATTTGCACAAACCAAATATCTTCCCACCCATTAACCCCACAGTTATGACCAAGGAAGCACAGGTGTGAACACACGATACGGACGTGGTGATACGACAAATCTCATCAAATATGTTTGTTATTTTTGTTTTATTATATTTTATGTGTCTAATCAACCCATAAGATATTCTAAATTGCATTGAATCCCATTCTTCTAATAAATAATCACAAAACCACCCACTGCATCTTGAAATTGTCCAAAACATGTCCTTGCCATGTTCCATGTCCTTGCCATGTTCCATGTCCTTGCCATGGTCCAGCCATGTCCAACTAGAAAATAAAATATTCAAATTTCAGGACACTTCTAGCCGTGTCCAACACGTGTCTAGGCTGTGTCCGTGTGTTCGAGTATCCCATACCGCCACGGCACCCCAAGAGAAGTGTTCGTGTTTCCTAGGTTATGACTAGTTGAGCTGCGCCACAGGCAGACTTCCCCTTTCAAATTAATAGCAACAAACATTGCAAAAAGACTTATTGATGCATATATGGGTCCTTCAGTATCGTGAACCATGCCAAACTAACCTAAACCAAATGTGTGAATTTCTTGTCTTTGGTGACCATCGTTCTGTTTTTCAAATTGAAAGCAACCAGAGGCAACATACAAACAGAAACAAATATTGAGAAACTAACCAGTGAAAAATTGTGGGAATTTGACAGGCAATATAACAGCTTCCTGCAACGCCTGCTTGGCACTCTCAAGCCCTGCAACATCATTCCACTTCACATTTGGCTTCTCTCTGATTATCGCTGAATTAAGCCCAGACCTGAGCTTCGCTTGCTCTGAGTCTTCCCCGTCTCCACCTCCATTCTTAGGCTTTGTCTTCGGCCGCGCGGCAACAGCAGCATCCCCATTGGAGGAGGGAGAACCAGTTCCTCCTCCATCAAGAACAGCCCGAATCTCTTCGGCCCTCCTCAAGTACTCAGTGAATTTCTGAGTAATGGCTTCCTTAATCTTTGGGTTCTTCTCATACTTCAAATGGGTCTTAAAGTATTCTAAAGCATTCATATAAAGGGAAAAAGCCTTAGCATAATTCCCCGCGTTATCCTCTTCAACAGCCTGCTTCACATACAATATAGCCTGCTCCTTAAAATTGCTATACATTTTCTAATGACAAAATGGGCACAGAAATCAATCCTCAAAACACCCAAATTGCAATCATATCATTAAAGCTTCTTCAATTCATAGACAATTGATCAAAATCGATTTCCCAATTACCCCTCACTTTCTTCCCAATTGAACAATCCAACACTAAGTTGTTGTTGTTTCGATGGTTTGTTCAAATTTGAGGAGCTTTGAAGCAAATCAATCCTCCAATTCAATCAGATACAAAACGACCCAATACGACAAATTCAAGATGTTCAATTGAGACTTCCAATAAACGAAGCTTAAAGAAAATCTTAGTACTTAAAAAGCTAGAAAAACTCCTCTTTGATTTGATGTTTGAGTGAGAGCAAATTTTAGAGGACCTTCAATTTGATCAGAATATGAAAACCCAAAAACTGGAAAACGCTAAAAAGATAATCAAAATCAAATCAGCAATCAACAGTTGAAGAGGAGAAATTGAGGGTAACAGACCTTATACTAGCATTTTGCGATGAGAGACAGAGAGAGAGGTTCAACAAAAGCCAACTGTTGTTAATTTTCTCTCTGAACTGGTAATCGCGGCTTTTGATTGGAAACCTTGACCGAGAAACGAGAACGAGAGACCAAATAAGTTGCTACGTCTCATACTAAATTTCCAAGTGGATGCTTCCACTAACGGTGGAGCCAGAATTTCAATTTAGGACTATACTGTCAAAAAAAATAAAATAAAATAAATAAATAAATAAATAATAACAATAATAATAATAAACAAAGAACAGAAGAATCAGAAGGAGAAGTATTTTAGGTAATAGAAGGAGAAGGAAAAAAAAACACAGAAGAAGATTTGTTTTATATATATGTAAAAATATTAAATTGATGGTAAATTTTCAAGTGGAATGCCTCCACTACCAGGCTAGCCAGGATTTTAATTTAGGGGTATAGTGCAAAATAATACAGTAATAATAATAAGAAAATAAATAATAAACAAAGAAAAGAAGAACAAGTAGAAGGAGCATTATAAATAAATTTTTATATATTTGTAAAAAAATTAAAAAATAACTATAATAGTATAGTGGGCGGGGCCAAGTCAAGGGGAATGAACTGGCTCCGCCCCGGCCTCCAATTTCAATTTTTAGGTCGTTTGTGAAATGATTTGTTTATTATTAAATACTTTTCTTTTATTGAAATGAATAAAATAAATGGTTTTTTTTTATTTTATATTATTGAAATGAATCTTAGTACCCTTCGTCTTCTTCTTCTTCTTCTTCTTATTATTATTATTATTTTAGTTCGAGTCCTTGTTGTGCTTAAATTTTGAATCATTCCATGTCAAGTTATAATTTTTTTGAAATATTAAAAAATCAAAAGAAATGAATCTTAATGAGGTTTTTATTAAAAAAATATGGTGATTTTAGTGTGTTATTGAAAACATATGAAATAGCCACTTAACATTGAATTTAGGTGAAAGTTGAAATAGGGGACCAAAATGGAATCAAATAGCCAATAATGGAATTGTGGTTGTGTTAAAGTCACCTTTGCAATTGAACTTCATAAACGCAATTTTTTTTTTGAAGAAAACAAATTTTTTTTTAAAGGACCTTTTACTAGTAACTCCATATTGTAGACTTTAGATTTTGTCCTACCCACTATTTCAACTACAAATATCTACGATCAAGGAATTTTGAATACTCCACATTCACTATAAAAGGTAAAATTTTATCACTACAAGTTATTCCATCATTTGATTATGAAATCACCCCCAAATTGAGTCTCGATTTAAGTGTTCGATCCCTTATTTGCGGTTGACATGTTCTAGAGGCTCCAAATCAATCCCAAATATGGAGTTTTATCATTCCCTAACCTTTCAAATTTTCCTTGCTGTTGGATGGTGAAATTGATTTTGAAAAATCATACCTTTTTGTTGACATGGGGCTGAAGGCCTAAATTAGAGTTTTTGGTACTCTAGTTTTAATTTCAGCCAATATTAGAATGTCATCATCCACATTAAAGTCAATCAAGTCGTTCAAAATACAAACTTAGATCATAATTCATCCAATTGCCCTAGTTGATTTTAAATTGGCCCATCTAATTGAGCAAATTTTGAAAAATTGTGAAATTAATTAGGGTTTTCATAGCCCACGTTGTCTATTCTCAATTTTTTTAAACTCCATATTTCCACCATCAAACACTCAAATTGATGCTTCCATGGTGAAATTGAGCTCATTTTACCTAGAATCCTTCAGGTTTCTCTCTCAATCGAGCTACTTCCACTATTGGATCAAATCTTCTCTCTCTCAATCGAGCTACTGCCACTAGAATTGTCCGATCGTGGGTACATATTCCTAAACTATCAAATCTTCATCTTTTCAATGCCATATCATAAGATTAATGATTCTTGGACTGCTTTACAATTTTCAGAAGATTTTGAACCTTTTTGCTCTTTAGATGTAGTCATTTTCAAGTAATTTTGACTTCACACTCAAATCATCTACTAATTTTATTTTTATTTCACTCACTGAATATATAATTATTAAATTACATTGCGTGCATTTTGTACTATGAAATTTGCAATCACAATATTAGAATTACAAAATTAGTAACCGTTACTGTCTGACTCATTTATAGAATTACATACTTATTTGTTTAAATATCTCATTTTCTTCCTTAACAAAATATATATATATATATATATATATATGTATGTATTTCTTCATCTCCATTATTAATATATTGTTATCACAAAGTTTGCATAATTACACAATTGAACCAGTTGATCGTAATATTTAACCAAATACTGATATATACCATTAAAAAATTTAGTTTTCTACTTTGCCAATTAGGAACCAATTTTTTGATGCACAAACACTATAAAATATAGACTTTCGAAGTGGTATATATCTCTTATCTTTGATTCATTGTAAGTAATACAACTTAAAACCTTGGTATTTGTTTTTTATTTTCCATTCAATAAGTAAAAACATCTTTCAATGAAGTGGCTATTACTGAAATCTGGGTTTGATTGAATTCGGTTAAAAATAAATAGAAAAAAAAAAAAAAGAAAAAAAAAAAAAGAAAAGTCTGCTTGGAGTTCCATTTGCTCTATGAGAAACTAGATGCTGAGGGCTATGCTAGTATATGAGGATCAACACCTAGTTCGTTTTGTACTCGAGTCAATTGACCTACGAAATTGATCCAAAATGTAAAAAATATTGAGAGAGAATAAATATGAAACAATTGCGAAAAAAGGGCGCGAAGTTGCAGCCCCCTACCTGCTGCCTTAGATGTGAGAGACAATTAGATGCAGTCCCTGAAAAATCCATGTATGAGCTACCTTTCCCGTCGAATTCAACTCTCGCAGGGCGACCTAATAAATCGTCACCATATAACTTGAGAGCCTTTTTTTGGTGCATTTCGTGTTGCAAACTTAAAAGGCCCTTAAATATGTCAGCGTTAAATGTAAGACGGATGTTGACAATTTCTCCCACATTTTTGAAGAAATTCACATCATCATCTTTTTCAACCTTATAGGATAGGTTGGCAACAAAGAGAGTTTTTGAAAGAGAGACACCCTTTTGGGCAGCTTTCTTTCCAGACTTGGTGAATGATGGATCAAAACATACCGACACTTTGATCAAATTGTTTCCAAACTTGTGCCGTTAATTGGGGTGTGAAATGTTAAATTTGACCATATAATTTATTATTAAATTAAAATTTGATATCTACATTCTCTCTCTCCTACAAGTTACAACCACGTTCTGTCTCCTGCAACCCATAACAGATTTTGAATCCACAAAGTAAGAGATAAATTCAAAAACTAAGGTTGTTCACACGATAAATTACTTTGAATTCACAAAGTAGTAATTTTGATTTCACAAAGTACGAGATAAATTCAGAAAAAATCTAATATTGTGTGTTGATAATTGAATAGGTGATCTGCTCTTTATATTATGTGATAATGAAACTAACTGCAAACTCTGCAAATTCATAAGGAAACTACCTGCAACAGAAACTTGAAACTTTATAACATAAGCAAACCTAATATCAAAAAAGAAACCAACGCCCTAAAAATAAAGTTATAAAAACTATTAAATTTAAAAATTGAGAGGTTCATTTAGACAATAAGCAAAAATCCCAAAATATTCTGTAGGCCTCATATATGAAAGAAAAGCCCTAAACAATGGTATTTGGTAGAAAAAACAACTTACAGCGCAACATGACCATGTGTCTTGTTCGGTGGTGTTTTCAGTTAAAAAAACAAAAAACTCTCTTTTGAATAAAAATGTGCACTTCAGGATTAGACCAAAAAAAAAAAGCAATCATATCATTAAAGCTTCTTCAATTCATAGAAAACTGATCAAAACCGATTTCTCAATTACTCAATTTCTTCCCAATTGAACAACCCAACCCTCAATTTTTATTGTTTCAATGGTTTCTTCAAATTTAAGGTGCAGCAAATCAATCCTCCAATTCAATCAGATACAAGGAACCAATACAACATTTTCAAGATGTTCAATTTAGACTTCCAATAAACCAAGCTCGAGAGAATCTTACTACTTAAAAAGCTAACTCTTTTATATAAGTGCAATTCAAGCAACTCTTTTGTGCACTTATTTAAAAAAAAAACTGTACCATTTTTATTGTACTTATTTTAAAAAATTGTACCAGTTTTATTGCACTTGTACATGTTTTTTATTTTTATTTTTTTTCGGGGTAAGAGTTAATAACAAAAGAGAAAAAAATTACGTCCCCAAGGCCCGAACAAGAAAACCAGGCCCATCGGGCTAAGGGGCAACCAAACAACCAAAAGAGCAAAGCTGAGAACAGAAGATGTCAACATGGCCCACACTTGCAGTACTCAATTCAAACCATAGGCCTAGGCGGGCACATCAACAAACCGGAGAGCATAGTGGTTAGTAGAGTAGACACGTGAGATAGATGTTCTTGAAAAGGGAGTCAAAGTGTACGGAAGGCAACATTCTTTTTGGATTGTTCATGATTTATTCGGGCTGGCGTTCAAATCTCATTAGTATCCCGTGGTTTATCTTCTAGGGGTGGGTCCAAGAATCTTATTTATTTATTTATTTTATTTTTGGTGCAGAGAAGAAAAATGTAAGGCCTATTTGGTTCGGTATTTTAGGATTTTTTTTAATTATCATATTTATTACTATGATTATTATTATTTTGGTTCTAGTCCTTGTTGCGCCTAAATTTTGAATCATTCCATGTCAAGTGATAAATTTTGTGAAATATAAAAAAATCAGAAGAAGTGAATTAAAATGGGATTTTATTAAAACAATGGTGATTTTAGTGTGTTATTGAAAACATATGAAGCTAACAATGGATTGATGTGAAAGTTGAAATAGATCATAATTAATCCAACTGCACCACTTTATTTAAAATTGGCCCACCTGATTGAGCCAATTTTGAGTAATTCTCCATTTTTAGGCCCACGTTGATTATTCTCCATTTTTCTAAAACTCTATATTTCCCTCTATCAAACAATCACATTGATGTTTCCATGGTGAAATTAAGCTCATTTTACCTAGAACCCCTCAAATTTTCTTCTCAATCAGGCTACTTCCACTGTTGGATTATATTTAGGCCACCACACTTTCAATTGTGGGTATATATTTCCGAACTATCAAATCTTCATCTTCCCAAAACCAAATTATAAAATTAAGTGATGTTATTAAAAAACAATTAAAATTTCACTCCAATCGAGTTACTTTTACTATTTGATCATCAAAGGATTCTACCTGTCTGATCATGATAAGTATGAAAAAATTGTATATGAGTTAGTTTATTTATTATTATTATTATTATTTCTTAATTAATTTTCTAGTTCCTATACCTCTATAAATGAGGAGAGATATGCGGCTAATGAAAATTAATATAACAGTTAGTTGAAAGGAATTTTAAAAAATAGGTGACACCAATTTTATATTTAACAAAAAAATCAAACCAAAAGTCAATGTAAAGATTAACGTTGTTGTATGTCACCTTCATGAGTGGCAAAAAAGGCTTTATGAAAACTTACTAAGAAGAAATTTTAGTTCATTCACTCGAGGACTTAATTGATACATATACCAAATGTTACAAGATTAATGTTTTTCCTTTCTCAACTTGCATAGCTAGAAAAGGATACGATCACTCCACGGATAGAAAATGCCAGGGCAATAAGTGGATATGATCATATTCAAAAGAAGAGGTAATTGCGAGTAGGCAAACAAAGCTACAGGTATACAGGAAAATGAAGTAATAGGAAAAAGAATCCATGTAATCGTATGTGCAAACATAAGATAAGAGTGTGGTGCCAAAAGCTACCATCATGGATATTAAGATGATAAATAATGATTAACCTATTCGGCAATTAAGGTGAAGAGAAAATCAGTTAGAGAAAATCAATTACTGAATAACGCGAAGTAAGGATGGATAAGAACATCACCACATAAGAGATAGATGAGAAAAGCCCAAATGCATCTAATATAACAAAGATTATGAAGCCTCTATCTTCAAAGAGAATTGGAATGCCGTTGTTGCCATCATTTCCACCTGGTACTGTAATGGCAACGGCAAACAGTACAGCAGTAACAAGAGCTACTATGGTTGTACATGAAGTGGCTGCGTCTTTCATTAATTTCTCTCCTTCTTTGACCAACTCCTCATGTGCCTCAGTATATACTGGTCCTGATGTAGTTGTTTCCTTGGTACGGAATCCTCTGTAAAAATCAATTGCATGTTTTTCTACTTCCTTCATTATATGGAATGAGTTTGCATTGAGAGAGCAATAAATTTGATCAAAAGATAAAGAGTTTTTGAAATCTAAAATATGGCATGTTTTTCTACTTCCTACGGTACATAAATGCAAGTCCAGACTCATATCATACTGTGAGTCCATATAGTGGCTTCGATTATTTTATATATTGTATATCTAACTCATATGATTAATGTATTAATCCAAAGAAGTCTTAACCCAATAAAAATAGACTTGTTTTGGGTCGATTATTGGTTAACATGATTTATTTTATTCCATATTCAAGCTACATCCAAGACGAATGTAATTAGTAAATCGGTCCATATCTAAACTAATTTAAAATTAGATTCAAACTACAATCCAAACTTGGTATAATGGAATTTCAGATAAGATTTTAAGCTCAAACTTGACACATAATATGACCTACCAAAATGAGGATTACGAGATTATGTAAATTCTGATTAAATCAACATAAGGATAAGTATGAAGTTTAAAAAGATTTGATTGTCCAACACTTTTTCTTGGTATGAAAATAATATTCATTTACCTTGAACCACTGCAATTCTGTAGAGCTGCACCAGCGGCACTTGCTCTAAGATTGAGTTTTTGCTCTTTCTTCAAATCTAGAATCAAATCTAGACAACTTTTATCATTTGAGTCCCGCTTTGTTACTATAAGGTGTCTTACCTCCTCACGAAATTGATAAATGAGGTTGAATACATCTTCACAACGATTCAAAATTGCAATATGAAATATATTTTGTCCCATCTCATTTGTGTGATGAACTAATCCCGGAAATACCTCAATAATTTCTTCAACAACTTCAGGAATCCCAGAATTTGCTGCATTCACTAAAGTTTGTTGAATCATCTCTTTAGCTTTTGAGTATTTTAACTCCGAACATTTGCTGCGTAGATGTTTGACAAGCTGAAATACTTGTTCGTGTTTCAGTTTTATCTCTTGAATGTATTTCATCTGTGGCATTACAATTCAAATGAAAGCGAGAAATGATGGGAATGGTTAGTGCTAAAAATTTTAATATTGCATGCTCCAAACTACAGTGGTTATTTTACACAGTCCTTACCAAATATTAAAGCGGCTTTTCATAATATATAATGTAGCATTTGCTTCACTGCATGCACAACCAAAGTAAATCTGTAATGTCAGAGATGGAGGGCAGCACTTTGGGATGATGTATAACTTCTATCAAGAAATTACTCATATAACAAGAGCACAAATTCTTTTCACTCATTTTAACATACACACGTATATAAAAACATATACACAATTGTACACACATGTACACAACCAAACATGAACACATACTATTGCACCCTGATTTCGACCCACACTATCCTAATGGCGGATTGGCATTATAATTCAATTATATATGAATTTCAAAGTTGATCCAAATAGTAACTTTGTAATTGAATTCTAATTCCATAGGATTGGATTTCTCATTCAATTTATTTGTGCCACCAAACGCATTTGGGTAAATATTGTTGCCCTGACATATAAATAGAGGAAAGATAGTAAGGATTTCAAATCTAACCATCAATCAAAAAATAAAGTAGGACAAATAAATAAAACTAAGGAATTTGATAATCCTGGAAGGAAGCTAATATTGATAGGGTTTTCAATGTCACCTCCGCAACAGTGATATGGAACTTCTAATTTCGTGAGAACAGATGAGTGAATTATCAAATTACTAATATGCTTTACAAAAATATTTCTTTGAAAATAAAAATAATAGAATAATGAAATTGGTGCAAAACAAGTGGCAATAAGTGATGATTTATTTTCATGTTTCAGTATTTTATAGTAATAGAGTTGATTTGTGGACCTTTTAAACGTAAATTTTTTTAGGAAAAGCATAATTTTGTTTTTTGTTTTAGTTTAATGTTTTCTTTTGGGCGACATTTTAGGGTAGTTTTGGTTTCTTTAATCGTGTAGAGAGTATGCTCTCATTATTTATAAGGTTCAATTCTAGCTCTAAAGGAACAACGAACATAACTACCACGAGGAAAGGCACAACCTCAAGGTCAGGAGGCCCTTGTCTGCGTAACAGTATGTGTATAGAACTCACTTTTGGAGTGGACAAAGAAAAGAGCAACTAAACTCACGATCACTTTGTGTTTTACAAGTACAATTTTGGAATTCTCTTTAGCTTAATTAAGTCATATCAAGCATCATTTTATGAGATCTCCCAATCATGGTGGACTCATTTATTCTTCGTGATTCATCCTGATGGTTGTCTTCGGGAATCATGAAAGACGAGACCTAGAGGCAACAACTTGGCATAACTTTTTGACTAGTAAAAGTCACATCATGAATATATGACCCTCGAGCAACGTGCGGAGGAAGGAATTTCGGAGAGAGAATCGTTGAGAGATGTCTCGATTCCTTGGTCACAATTTCTTGACGAAAGTTTAACTCTTGAGTCTCATTCATTTAATTTCTTCCACAGTAGCCCTTCTTACACTTTATTGATGAGATGACTTTTATTTTTATGAAAATTAAAAATATTAATTTATTAAGATAAAATTATCCTTTAAAAAAAAAAAAAAAAAAAAAAAAAAACACAACATACGGGAATATATTATTTTTCTTTTTGGATTGCCAAAACAAATAATATTGAGGGAATGAATTATTTTATTTTATTTTTTAATTATATTTTAACTATATATATGTGTGTGCGCGCGCGCTATATATGGATTCACATTTAATTCATATAATCACAATTCATATAGGATTTTTTTTTCCTCACTTAATTGATGTATATGTATATATATATATAATATAAACTTGAATATAGAATAAACTTTTTCTCTGTATTAGCACACAATTCACAAGTTTACACAGGTTCTCTTTATAAGAGAGAATACACGCACAAAACTAGCTGGCCTAATTAATAATTTCCTAATTTACAATATTTGACCAATATTCTATTTACAACAAATATCCTCCAAAAATTATATTTACAGTTAATAATATTTGGTAGTATTACTACCTAATATTTCTTTTTCCAATACTCCCCCTCAAGCTGGTTTGAAGATATCCTCCATAGCCAGTTTGCCAATTAGTTTATCGAACTGTCTTGTAGGAAGTCTCTTTGTAAGTACATCTGCAACTTGCTCGGTAATAGGAATGTACGGCATACAGATCAATCCTTTTTTGAGCTTTTCCTTGATGAAGTGTTTGTCTACCTCCATGTGCTTTGTTCTGTCATGAAGCACTGGATTGTGAGCGATCGAAGTAACAGCTTTATTGTCATAGTACAATTTCATAGGCAACGGATTAGAGACCTTTAATTCATCCAATAGTCTCTTAATCCATAACACCTCACAAATTCCATGAGCAACTGATCTAAACTCGGCCTCTGCGCTGCTTCTTGCAACTACATTCTATTTTTTTACTCCACCAAGTGACAAGATTACCTCCAACAAAGGTGCAGTAGCCAGAAGTTGACTGTCTGTCAATAGCACTCCCAGCCCAATCCGCATCAGTATAGGCTTCAACTTGCAAATGTCCACGATTTTTTAACAGTAGACCTCTTCCAGGGGTCCCCTTTAGGTATCTGAGAATTCTGTAGACTACATCAAAATGTCTTGTCCAGGTGAATGCATGAACTAGCTAACCATGCTGACTGTAAAAGCTATATCTAGAAGTGTATGTGACAAGTAGATCAGTCTTCCAACAAGTCTTTGATACTGCTCTCTATTCATAACTTCTTCTTTAGAAAGCTGCAGCCTAAGGTTGGGCTCAATGGGTGTCTTGGTTGGTTTACATCCTAGCAGACCTATCTCACTAAGTAAATCAAGAACATATTTACGTTGATTCACAAATATACTTTATTTGGATCTAGCAAACTCCATTCCTAAAAAGTATTTTAATGCACCCAAATCTTTGATCTTAAAGTCAGCTGTAAGTCTCTTTTTCAGTCTCTCCAATTCTTCATTGTCATTACCTGTCAAGACTATATCATCCACATAGACAATTAACACTGCAACCTTGCCTTCTCTATTATGTTTGTAGAACATGGTATGGTCAGCTTGGCTCTAACAGTAGCCACAATTCTTCATAGCTCTCCCAAATCTCTCAAACCAAGCTCTAAGGGACTGTTTGAGACCATATAAAGATTTTTTCAGTTTACAGACTTTACTAGGTCCCAATTTTCCCTCAAACCCAGGTGGTAGATTCATAAAGACCTCCTACTCAAGGTCTCCATTTAAAAAGGCATTTTTTACATCTAACTGGTGTAATGGCCAGCTGAAATTCACAGCCAAAAATAACAAAATTCTGATTGAGTTTATCTTGGCTATAGGAGCAAAAGTTTCTTGATAATCAATTCCATAAGTCTGGGTGAATCCTTTTGTTACTAGTCTTACCTTGTACCTCTCTATGCTACCATCAGTTTTACATTTCACAGTAAAAACCCACTTGCAGCCTACTATTCTTTTCTCCTTAGGTAAATCAACTATCTCCCAAGTATCACTTCTTCTAAGAGCATTCATCTCTTCCATCACCTCATTCTCCCCCTAAAGAGAATTTTTGGGAAAGTAGGATTTATTTTCAAAGAAAGAGACATCCATACTTACATAAAATTTTCTTGTTTGGGGATTATAGCAGTTATATCTCTTTTGATTAGAAGCATACTCTATGAAAACACATTTTTCAGCTCGAGGATCAAGTTTGGACTGAGTATTATTAGGTATATGAACAAAAGCTATGCAGCCAAAAACCTTTAAAGGTAAATCTGAGTATATCATTGAAAATGGAAAAATTCTTTTCAAACATTCTAATGGCGTGCTATATTTTAAAACACATGAAGGCATTCTATTAATCAAATACGAAGCTGTTAAAACAGCTTCACCCCAAAGATATTTTGGAACATTCATTGAAAACATTACAGCATGAGCCACTTCGAGTAAATGTTTATTTTTTCTTTCAGCAATTCCATTTTGTTGAGAGGTATCCACACATGTAGACTGATGATGGATACCCTTTTCTTTCAAAAAAACTCCCCAAAATTTCATTAAAATACTCGGTTCCATTATCGGAGTGAAAAATGCTAATTTTTGCTTGAAACTGAGTTTCAACCATTGTGTAAAAATTCTTAAAAATCTTTTCAACCTCAGACTTTTTATTCATAAAATAAACCCAATATAAACAAGTATGATCATCTATAAAAGTAACAAACCATTTTTTTCTAGAGATAGTAGTGACTCTTGAAGGTCCCCAAACATCACTATGTTTTAAATAAAATGGTTTTGAAGAAGTATAAGGTTTTGGCAAATAAGTAGTACGATGACTCTTAGATAAGCAACAACTCTCATAATAAAACGATGAACAATCCAAACCTTTAAATAAAGCAGGAAACAAATGTTTAAGATAGGGAAAGCTAGGATGTCCTAGTCTTAAATGCCAAAACATTATTTGTTCGTAAACAGAGTTAGAACTAACACTACTAAGGCCCTGAGCCTTTTTATTACTGGAGAAATCTCCATCAAAGTAGTAAAGTCCATCTATTATCTTAGCACTGCCAATCTTCTTCCCCGAGCTTTGGTCCTGAAAATCACAGTAAGAATCACAGAAAATTACACAACAATTAGATTCTTTGGTTAGTTTCCTCGCAGATAAAAGGTTACAGGCTAGTTTAGGGACATAGAGAACAGATTTAAGATCTATATTCTCGGATAATTTTATCAAATCTTTTCCTGTAATAGGTGAGAAACTACCATATGCAATTCTAATTTTTTCAAGGCCAGAACATGGTGAGTAAGTGCTAAAAAGATTGGAAAGGCTGGTCATATGATTAGAGGCTCCAATATTGATGATCCATGGAGTACAATTTAAACAACAAAAAAGGG